GTGTATACACATACAGTATAAAATAGTATAAAATATACTTTGTCATTAATTGCACAGTGAAACAAGTATATGTATAAAATACTTTGCGTTACGTTGATTAAGTCAGATTTTAAAATTCCCAAGATTCCATCCACCTTAAAGAATGCATCGAGCTATCGGGATCCATGGCAGACGGACCGTCCATCCCATAAGCCAATGGCGAAAACAGATAAAAGCTATAAAAAAAAAATTATATAAAATTAAAAATATAAAATTTGATCAACTCTTAATCTCTCGATATCATTTTTTAATAAAAATCCGAAAGAGCTCTAATTTTTTAAAATATGTATTACAAATTATTTCATTGTGAGATTAGAATTGAATGAAAGGCAACTTTTACCTGTAAACAGTACCGGAGATTACAATTCCTAATATGACATGATAAAACGTATTTCCCACTTTGCCGGGTAACAGCAGCAGGAAGCTCTCAATGACGTGATTCAATGTAATCCCGGTCAGCATGGAGCTGTACAGTAACGCTGGGAAGTAATGGTGAAAGTACAGTACCCTGGTCATCGCCCAAAAAGGTGCATAATGCAAGATCCACCCAAGGAAAAGCCACTTGCCGGCATGTGTTATTTTGCTCCGCTGTTTGAGCATGATAGCATCGTCGATACAGCCCCGTTGCTCGCGCACAGAAGCGTGGACGTAAAAAACTATAAATATTACGAGAAAGACTATGTTCCCCCACCAAATAATAGGATTGCCGAGTAGATATATCCTTTGATTGTTCCCGGAAAAGAATTGTCCCTACAAAGAAAGATAGGGGTTTTTTTTCAGGATTTGCCTCTTCAAAACGACGATATTGTTGATGAGATTAGCAAATAATAGTATATAAATTAATTTACTCTATAATTTATAGGCCACTGCCATGGTCGTGAGGACACCTCTCCTTCCTTCACTTTTAAATCCGAATTGCCTTGCAACATCACGGCATGCGACTCCAGAAATCTATCAAGGAATCCTGGCGCATACACGCGGAAACTGACATTTGGTACTAATAAAAAACAGTGTTACATACATCGCTTTAATTATTAATGATAAATTTAATGGCTTGTGTCACTCGCTTACATTTGGCGTATTGATTGTCCTCGATGTTCCATAATCCATTTTTATCTCTCATGTTAGGATTACAGGAAACCTCTTGCTGGCTGTACCCCCTAGATAAATTAAAAGTTGATCGCACAATAGAAAATTTTGTTCTACGCGAAAGATTAATTTAATGTAATTTTTATCGCTACCAACCATTTCGGTAATGTTTTGCCGCTACATGTTAACACGCAATGATGAAGATAATGTACGAACTTTAATTTACTTGTCACTGTCTCAACCACGTCGCCGTCTCTTCCGTTCGTTATCAATATTTTCCAAACGTCATTAGCATCGCCCGTACCATTCTGTGAGGCAAATAGGAAATACGCTTTATAAAATCGAAAGCAATGCCACAATCACGTTGGAATCACCTTACTTCTCCGTATCCGGTAACTTGATAATGTTTTTTTGATATCGGTGCAATCTCCTTGTGCGAATGTAAATTCCGTCTCGTCGTAATATGCTCCAGACGCACGAGGTCGCCATGTTTAACTAATTCTGGTTCTGGCGGTATCACATCCGTGTCGAATTTCTTCACTAGCCATAGATTGTTATCGTCTTTGTGAGAATAGGTCGTGATCTGTAATCAGATACGTACGTCAAATACTAGGAACTTAATTTCACTTAACGTCACCCACTCAAATCATTATTCTATCATATGCGTTTTCCAGTCTTTTCCGGATAAAATAAGATATACATCATTTATTTCAATACCTGACAAATTGATAAACCTATATCTTCTATATAAATTCATTTTGTTTATATTTTACTCTTTTTTTATGCTATCTTGTACTAAATGTAAGTACTCATATACATATAACAACCTGTTGCTGTCTAGCGCCGACTCCTTCAGGATATAAATGCCAATGAGAATGCAAGTAACCACCGCCTGTGCGATGATTTTTTAACGTAATAGTAGCACCATACGCTAACTGTCGTGGCATCGTCGCGTTATACAGCGAATTTCCACGTAATAATGACTGAAATTCGGAACTGTAGAAACCATCGCCACTTCCACTAAGCAAAACAATTGTCTATTTGTAAATTAAACATTAGTTTAGACACATAATTGTATAACTTAGATTATACAGGACATTCTGAGAAATAAGGAAAAATTAACATAAAGTTTATAAAAATATTTGACATTAATAGTAACAGACTATGCTTTGTAAATTGATGCAATCATTCTTACCTTTTATTTAAAACGGAAAGATGAATATAAAAAAATAGCATGTAAAGTAAAACCGGTAATAGGATGAGGCAAAAGCATCTTGCTAACAAATGTTTCCCCACATAAGACTGTAAAAAGCAAAATCAAAATTGTTCTTTGGAAACTTAATTGTCCATTCTCTCAATCTCATACTAATTATTAAATTAAAAGTAAACTTATTAACTAGCTCATTAATCATGTCAATTAAAATGCAAAGCTCGCACTATTTACGACATTACACAAGTTTAATACTAGAAGATATAATAATTAATTATTTATTTTGAGTATTAGAAGCACTGAGCAATAGTGTTTTTAATATTCAAAATAAGTAATTCAGTACTATTTGTCAGTACTAAATTGGCTAGTATTAAGCTATATTTCTGTAAGAGTAAAAATCTTGGTACTGAATTCTCGTGAAGTGACTTACAATAGGCTTAGACAGATCACCTAATTCTCGCCAAAGCTCGTATACGGTATAAAGACCCACAAGCAGAACGACAAAGAGTCCGACGAATTTTACGCTGATTGTGCACGTAAGTGAAGCTCCGGTGAATGATAACCACAACCACCAGGATCTTGTAAACGGTCGATCTCGGAATGATGCTACACGCGCCATGCCCCATGTCGCACACATCATAAAACATAACAATATGGGATCCAGCAGAATATACTGATTCAACGTCAACAATCCTACGTCTGCAAAGAAAAATGAATCATTTTGTTAATTTGACAAAATTCAAGATTATCTATATCGTAAGAACGTTATAATTTACCACATAAGATGAAAAAGGCAGCAAGTGCAGATGCGCGAATTGACTTGGTAAGATCCCATACAATAAGATATGATAGAGGAACAGTGGATGCACCCAGAATTGTACAGAACTAAGACAGAAATGTTTCTAATTAAATCTTTGCAGCTTTAATGCTTTCAATAAGTTTTCTCAATCCTTTGATATATCTTGTTTTATTTTAAGTGAAAAAAACTTGCTCAACTTACAATTCTCATGCCAATGTAATTGATATTTTCAAATTTATCTCCTGGTTTTTCAAAAGCAAATGTCCCATCATAGCCCGTCATGTATCCCGACAAAGCAATGAGCATCTCAAAATAGAATATAAAATATTTTTAGTCTTATGTAATAGTTGAATTTTTTACCTAGAAAATGTACGGATAGAATTTTCTTTGGAAAACCTACTTTTCCTAAAGGTGGATGCACGTCAAAGAAAAACGTCCTATTTATATACCAGCTCCCCATTTTGCCAAAATGTGTTTCGTCCCAACTGAAAGATAGAAGTTTCTAAGAACTTTCTTTAAAAAAAAAAGTTTAAATAAGAGATATTTTTTAAATAAAATCTTTGATTGCTCTTACCATACATGCTGAGGTTCTGTAACTTTATAAAATCTAGTGATTAAGGTAAGTACAATTATACCTCCAAACAGGAGCCACCAGTCCCTATAAACATAAAACCAACTTGCAATTGTGTTGCAATATCTTACTTATTTCATGCTAATTTATCATATTAAAAAATAATATTTTCATTTTTTTGCAATAATTATTACATCCTGTATAATTATTACTAGTAAAGAATTCTTTATAGAAAAAAGAACAAAAATATAAAACAAAATTTTTTTAGGAATACTTTTGTCGAGGATAAGATGAAAAAAAACCTGGTATCTCTAACATTTTAATAATTTTTATATACTGTAATAAGAAAAAAATAATTCGTCGAAAAACAACAGAATCGTGACATATGAAATGCATTAAAAAGTATATACAACCGAGATAACCACATAATTTTGATAAAATTATAATTATACATACGTCCCACTCTCTTCCTTTTCGTTCATTTTCGAGGTCGTCGCATTTTTCAATTTGCAAGCGGTGTCTTGGGTACCGCTTCTCATATTTTACTTTGTTATTATTTACTTAACAGATTGTGGAATACGTTGCTGCATTTGTAGTGAAATAATCACGAATAAACAATAGTGGACGGCCAGATGTACGATCTACTGAATTATACTGCAGCAATTATTAACTTGAGTGTTTCGAGCAAATATTCATTATTCTCCATTCGACACTCCGTACTCCGTTATGCGACACGTCAAATCTGCTGTCAGAGCCGTCAGAGGACAGACAGAGCCAATCATGGACGGAGCCCAGTGATACGATTTCCGACCCGCTTGCAGCCCTCGATGGTGGCGTCATCGGTTGGCGGCCTGGCGCAACCGGTAGCACTCACACAAGCGCAAGCTCGTGTACAGTGCGGAGCTTTAATTTGCTGGGTCATAGTAGTGGCTTGACTTATCGACGCTGAATCGGTAACACTCAAAGCGCGCGTGCGCGCTTGAAATAAGGTGAGCCTAGATAACGTAATTTATCGCCGACCGATGACACTACCATCGAGAGCTGCAAGCGGGTCGGAAATGTCGGAATTCGGAAATCGCATCACTGACAGAGCCATGATGCACAAGGCTATATAGTTCTATAATACGATCACGTCAGTAATACAGTTTCCTGTCAGACCGAGCGTGCAATACTAGACCTGTTCTTTTTGGCTGAACTTTTGCACCAGTTCATCTTTCTTTCTTTACTTTCCTGCTGGAGAGAAAAGGAAGAAAGACGAACCTTTGCACCAGTGAACTGCCAAAAAGAACAGGCCTACTGTCACGTGCGGTGCATCACGTGCACGAGAATGCGGATCACGGATCCGTAAATAGAATAGAGGTTACGGGAGGAAATGTGGGACGGAACCAAAAGAAAAGGGTCATCTTCCTTTTTTTTTCTCGTCGGAGCGAACAATAATAGACTCGGTCACGGGCAAGTTTCTCCAAGTCTCTCACGATCTCTCGTAGGTCGTCGCGTGGGTGGAACTTCTCAATTGAGAACTCTTAAATTTGGCATTTTGTCCCACCGATTATTTTCTATTATATATATCCAGAACGTTGCAGAATATATATTTAATATTAACAAATAGAACTTTTGTATCTCCGACTTATTACGGAATTAATCAGGAAGTGTTTTATCCAATTTTATCTTTTTGATGAAACAGTACATATTTTGTTAAAAAATTTTCTTCTATTTCTGGAGTAAATGAAAAGTATCCTCGGAGCAGCTATAATTCACATTCCTTCCTTCTGTAATACAATGAATTAATCACGAATACTGTGTGTTGTGGACAGAAAATATCATGTGAGACAATACAGTTCTAAAACAATCCATTTAAAAGAAGTCGCTAATTGTAAGAGCAGAGATCCAAAGTTTAGTGCATATGTCAAGAATTATTTAGTATTTGCGATCTTCCAGTGTTCTTTTTAAATGCCAAAACACTTAGACGGCTACGAAACGTGCGCTGGTCCAGCAGGAAAAGCGAAATGTGGCAAAATGTAAGGAAACTTAAGAAAACGAAAACGGAGAGGCACGGCGGCGCGCCTCGTTATGGACGCCACCGCGTTATGCGGCATAACGCGGTGGGGATATAATCCCGAAATATCGTTCCGAGAGCGAAAAACTTAAGATGAGACTCTGCGTCGATCGTCACCGGCGAGCTTCGCGTCCGAGCGCGCGGAAACGAGTTCTCGGTCTTGATCTCCGTTGAGAAACACGGTAAGAACTCTTCGCCGCCCTGCTTCCTTCTTTCCGTTCGTCGATTTGTGCTCCGATTTGTAGTCACCTGTCAGAGCAAACAGTAGAGCAGGATGCAACGTGATTGTTTGATAGACTTTCTTTCCACTACGGCGATCTGTAATACTCGCAACTGTAATCTTACATACTGCACGTGTATTTGTAGCTGCATCCATATCCGAGATATATTTATAGATATATGAGACAGGACATATATATATTAGATTTAGATACAGCTAGATTAAAAAAAAAGGAAGAGATATGCACTATGTTTGTAGAATCAGCTGTCATTTCATTGCTGCATCGCAAACTCGTGTAGTTCATTTTCGTATTAGTGTATTTTTAGATATGACAGGTGGGTATATGTGTGTCTCTTAAACACGAAATGTGATTGAAGAGAATCAAGTAGTAAATATAATATATAGATTAAAGTTTAATACTGGATTAAAATTTATGAGATTTTGCACACAACAGCAATTAATTTAATGTAAAAAAAAAAGAGATATTAATATTTCTATATAATAATAGAAAACTAGAAGTAGAAAACATATGATCATACCGATAATTAAATAAAATAAAATTTGAATAAGTTACACTTGAATGTAAAAAGATTTAGGATAATTATATACATGAAAAGATAGTAATACTTAAAGTATACATTATTACACCAGTAATTGTAATATATACTATTACCATTAGAAATATATAGTTGTGTATGTATATATATATATATATATATATATATATAATTAGCAATATATATTTAAATATACTTTTCAATATTTTTTACAAATTCAACAATCTAATTGATCCGACTTTGAAGTATCTAATAATATCCAATTTTGCAGGCAAGATATGACGGAAAGTGACGTTAAGTACGTAGTGATACCTCTTCACCATCGGCCTGACTTGATTAAAGACTGTTGTAAGTTGCTTAATTCTGAATGGCCTCGAAGTGAAACTGCACGGTGTGTTATTTTTCTCCTTGGTTTCAAAGATTACCTAGGAAAATAGTGAAGATACATTGATACAATTGATTTTCATATCGTTATATTGCAGAATGAAATCTTTAAGTGTGTCTTGTGACGATTTTCCTACGTGTCTAGTTCTAATTAATGGCGAGAACAAGGTTCTCGGGCACTGCAAAATATCTCTGGTGACTAGATCGAAAGTTAGCTGTTTCATAGAGTCTGGTAAGCAGAACCGATAGTAATTTGTTTTAATGCACATATATCAATAGAATTAACAAGTAGAATAATTTAAAGCATATGTTAATAAGTCAGAAAAGATAAATCATAATAATACTACATATCTGCAATATTTCAGTTGTAATCGATTATCGATGTAGATCTAAAGGATTAGGGTCTAGATTGTTGCGTGGCGTGGAGGAGTATGTCGCAAAAAGAGGCCTGAAGAACATCTATCTAAAGACGGATGGTCAGGAGGTGTTTTACTATAAGAACGGATATAAGGTGTGCGATCCATTTAAAGCATATGGCATTAATGACATCATAACTGCCAGTCCACCTCTCGGTAGGACCAGATTCAAGGAGCGAAATGGTGATCAGTCCGCCGGACAATTGCCACCGCCGCCTCCGCCACCCCCGATGCCGGCATTTCAATTGTCAAAGTTTTTCGACATGCGAATGCTGTCTCAAAAAACACACATGGTCAAGAAATTATGATACTGGTATTATATTAAAATTTCAGAGTATGCTCCACTCGCACTGAAAACGAGAGCTTTCACAATTAAAATTAGATACTTAAAGAAAAACTAACTCAATTTGATTTAAATAGAACAAAATGAGAGAATAGACAATTTAGCACATTGCAACTTAACGAAGAACTTGAACTCTTCTATTTAGGAAATCATATTCATTAGTCGTGTAAATATATCATGTAAATAATTTTTTAAAACATGAAATCATTCATTTGAAATCATTCGCGAATAAACATGCATTTGTCTTTTCAGCTCGATGAAGCAACGCGAACGAAGTATTAGATACTTTAAATTTTAGGCCTACATTTTTGAATCTATATACGAAAATCTATAATATATAAAACGTATACTATAGTATTATCGTATGCGATATTTTTCGAGAATAAAGCTTCTGTTCTTATTATAAGCTGCAAAGTAGGGTGCCGTAGACTTATTTTTCTAACTTTACATTTGTAATTCTAATTTATATATGAAGGATCGACAAGTAAATTCATCGTTTTTTTAGCACGATTCCTCTCTCGCTCAGATTACGCCTCTATTGTAAATATATCTTCTTTATTCGTTGTATTCTAGCGACACAACACGATGCGTTTAGTACGCTCGATCTTTTTCCATCCAACACGTACAATTCGAGCCAACTGCATAACTTATCAAACGTGATAACGATTTACATAAATATATATATTTATTTTTTCACTAGAAAAAAATACATGCATCTTATTATTTTTCCCTACCATTTCTCGCATTATGACACGGTCGCAATGCCACAAATCTTTTGATAATAATCAGGATTCTCAAGACATTCGACAAGAAACGCACCCAGGTCATATTTGGAGATTACTCGTCCAGGTGAAGAATCGAATGTGACAGTGTACTTGGATTTTGGTGTCTCTGAAGAGAAAAACAATCTCAAGTGAGATTTCTCAAGATTATTGCATGCTTCATCTCTCATTATGTAGGCATACCTGCAATGTGCGGTGGCAATATCGCCACCCATTTTAAACCGCTCGATTTGATCAGGTCGAACATGCGCTGATGATCTTCAGTTACACCTCTAAATATAGCAGGCACTGCTTCAAGTTTAAGGAATAAAAATGCTGAAAGTTCAGGCAATGAACATTAAAAAAGAGTATTGCATATACAATAAAGTTGAATATTTAGAGAAGTCCCAAATAGCAAGAAGTTCCAAATGTGCCAGAAGTGTCAAAAGGATATTTTCTTCATTAGCAAAATTATACACAATAATATATTTCTATATTAGGTCTGTGATTGAAGTGTACATTCGTATTTTAAATGAGATAGACATATTTAAAGTATGGCAAAAGCGAGATAGAAAGTTTTAGTGCAGTCTAGTGCAATAAAAAATAAGCCTTATAATAATTGATAGTTTTGGCAAGTATTTAATATCTTTAGTTTTTACAATATTACAATATTACCTGATAGGCATACAGACACCAATTTAACATTATGTGCTTTCATGGCTTCTATTATATTCTTCATGCCTTGAGACATTACAGTAGTAGGACCTTAAGTAGCATAAAATGAATAAGTAGAACATATTATAAAACAACGAAAAAGAATACATATTATATATATCTATTAGAAAATATATATGTGTTGCTTACTTAAGTCTGTCCTGGTGCCAAGTGTTACCACAACAGCATCTCTATCAGCTACCGCATTTGCAACTTCCTTTGCATTAATAACATCTCCAACAATTAGTTCAACTTTATTTCTAAGATCCTCAGGAACCTTGTCCTTGTCTCTTACAAAAGCTCTCACCTCCAGACCTGAATAATAGAAATAATCGAGAAAATATCTATATATATAATGCTTGATTTGTGGATATTACAGATAAAGAATTAATTTATCATGCACACAAAATTACAAAATCATACACACAATAATTATATGTCACAATTAAGTACATTTTGATATAGGAGGAAATATTAATTATATCATTTTATGGACTCTGATTTTTAATTATAAAAAGTAGATCTATAAAATAAATCTATATAACACTCATAATTATATATTCTAAATTATTTATGATTACTGATCTCTTTAAATTGTGATCTCGAGTGACAGAACGAGAAACTTTTTGGCAATAACTACAACATGTAATATGTATAGGTTCGATCTTTGTAGCTGAACTTTTTGTACTTTTCATTCTTCCTTCTTTTCTGTCTAACGTTTAATTATATATATTCGCCCCGTTTCAAGTGCGAAAGGTGTAACGTGGTGCAACTGCGAAGAGCACGCGGCACATTGTTGGTTGGAAAAAATACGTAATACAATAATAGCGCAGATAAACAGCAGAGTTACCATTTTCCACGGCGGTTCTGAGAGAACAGAGACCGGTGTTCCCAGTGCCGCCGAATAATACGATTCGTTTCTTCATCTTGCGTTGAGCTGGCTGAGTTCGCGATGCGTGTTATCATGAGATGCGTGATTATATCTTGTTATATCTGCCTTGCGAGGATGACGCATCAATTATCTTTTTCTCGTTTTTTTAACAAGCGCTATGAAGAGAATTGCCGATGCATCGCCAGTACCGTCGATAGTACCGATTGTACTGATAACGTGATATAATAATGATTAATAGATAGCGACATTTTTTTTGCAATATTAGCCTATTATGTAAGGCACTGCAATATAATGTAAGAAAATAAGATAGTCGACAATCTTATCTTCTTACATCATGCATTAAAAAGTGCATTTTAATAATTATTAAGTATGTTATGCAGCCTCTTTCAAAGACGTATGTTTAACGCGAACAGAATAATATATTCAGCAAAAATATTAAATAGTAAATGTATATTTTAATGATGTTTCTTCGTACAGAAGCGTATTTTGTATCGTATTTATTATCATGATAACAATTTATTAAAAATTTTAAGATCGTTTCTTTTGTAATATATCGTTTGTTTTTTCTTAACGTCGCGTAGAATAGAATATATGCAATTATATTGTACGTACCTATTTACATCAATGTAAATACAACATATAATTGTACAATATATTAAAGTCCTAGAAAATCAAATACAATATTGAGTCGGTTATATTCAGTGAACTTTCAATAATATAACTATAAAAACCATTAGGGCTACATTCAGATTCCCACTCGAATGCTACCATAAGTATCACTCCATTCTTGTTATTTTCCGAACGTTAAACAAGGATAACATGACCTTCGAGGATCATGCGAGTCTGAAAGTCATGAGGTGTAAGGAGTGTCCCAATTACTATAGATCAATGCTGGGATTTTATTAACTTCTTCTTGTTAAATTTTTTTATTTTTCTAAACGCTAATATTTTTTTTAACTTTAATTAATGCGCGCGGGTTGATGAAGTAAGGAGCAGGAACTAAGTTGAAAATCGGAGGAAATGTGCAACTCTCAGCACTGTACTAGACAATGACACTCAAATGTAAAGACTATATTTCCTAGCAGAACAACAAGTCATTATAATATTAAAATGTCAAAATGACTGTAGCAAAATATTTACAATTCATTTTAACGTCATTTTAACATCGCATTTTAACGTTAAAATGACGTTACCGTGACTTGTTATTCTGCTTGGGTTGTGTCTTTCTTTCTTTATCGTTCAGATATAAAATAAGAATAGACCATAGAGATATCTAGATTGCTGATGTCCTTTCCCCCACCACACATTCGTGTCATCTCGCGCCATGTTAAGTGAGAAAGTTCCGACGCATGCGCACTAAACCGTTTCGTGGATTAATACAACAAATTGTTAAAATAATTTCTCAATATAAGTTTCTAAAAAAAAAGAAAAATATATATTTTATTTACATATTTTATAAAAGTCTCTTTCAAGAATATTAGAACTAAACCGATCACTTAAGTTTAATTATGTAAATCAGGTAACTTCTAGATTAATTTTATACATATATATAACGTAATTAATTTTTTTAAAACATTCCTGTTTTCAATTAGGAATAAAATTATTGTAGTAATAGATATTAGCAGTCTAGTACAATGTATACATATAATATGTGGCCCGTATGCAGAACGCGCTTCTTTATTGCGCATATATCGGAACTTTCTCACATGGCGATTTGTTGACGCATTCTTTCGCGTATCAGCAATCTAGATATCTATGGAATAGACGTAATAACATTCTAAGTTTGTCAACTTTCCACGTTCATTTTTTAGCACTATACGAGCGTCGCACCTATCATACAATCACTGAGCTTTTCGAAACTAATCTTTTAATGTTTAAGATTTTATAGGAAAAAAATATTAGCTTTTAAAAGGGATTAAAAAATTTAAAAAGAAAAAGTGAATAAAATTTAAAAGTAACTACATTAACTTAAAACATAATTTATTTAAAATTAATTAAATTTTAAGCTAAATATATATATTATTAACTTTTAAATTTCTATTTAACATTAAACTTATTATATAACTACTTAGTTACTATCAAATCCTGTGTATCGTTTAATCAGATTATGTTAAAGGAGTACTAGGAGACATAGCATGCGCACCTCCATCTACAGGCAATGTCACCCCTGTCATAAAACTAGCATCGTCGCTTGCTAGAAATATAATGGCCTTTGCAACTTCCGAAGTATCACCATTTCTTCCTAAAGCATGTATCTTTTTAAACTGCTCGAAAAACTTTTTAAGCTGTTCTTGGTTCATTCCAGAGTTTCGAAAGATGTTTGTTTCTATAAGGCCAGGATTTACGGCATTCACTCGTACCTATATTTTTACATTTAAAATTATATGAGGTAAAAAAATATTAAAAAATGCCATTATTGAAAAAAAAAAAGAAACAGTCATTATTATCCCTACACGCACCTGTCGTGATGCCAATTCTAAAGCAACGCAACGCGTAAATTGGTCTAGAGCCGCCTTACTCATGTAATATGCCAGAAAACCTGCTCCTGATCGTAATCCAGCTAAGCTAGAAACGTTTACAATGTTGCCTTTCGTTTTGATTAAATATGCCACTGCTAGTGCTGTCAATTGGAATACCGAGCGAACGTTTACGTTCATAATACTGAAAACAGATTTACGTTAAAAATACGTTTTGTTATCAATGTGTTTTCAAAATAGAGAATATAATTTATCACTATTTATACATGTTTATACATAGAAACAAGTTACTTATTAGTACATACTTATCATATTTTTCCAAGCTTGTGGTTTCTATATCACCGGCTTCCCAAGTTCCAGCATTATTGATTAAAACATCTAATTTTCCATAGTGCTTGATTGTCGAGTCGATGATATTTTTCACGTCGTTCTTATTAGCTAGATCTCCCACTACAATGAACGGTTTGGATTGCCCACATTGTTCGGCTACTTTTTCTAAATTGTGTTTATTACGTCCTGTTATCGACAAAGATGCACCAAGCTGAGCCAGTTGAATAGCTGTTTCAGCTCCAATTCCTGAACTGGCCCCTGTTATCAGAACAACTTTTCCCGCAAAAGACATCTAAAATAAATAACATGTTTCAGACTGGATGTATTCAGTAGCGCACCGCTTATGAAGCGGCTATTTATAGTTATAGCAGTAGAATGTTGTAGATTCTTACATAAACCAATCAATCACATTAAATTACTACATTACGTCATATAATCTAAGATATTAATATTAAAAATTTAATATAAAAATTTGTCATACACATGAATGTGTATAATTATGTATAAACATACATAAACATGTATAAATATTCAAACATACATAATTATATATAAAATAGATCCATACGTTTATACATCTTTCTTTCTTTAGTAAAATTACTTTTTAGTGTAATAAAAATAATAATAGTAATGTGAAAACATTAAAAATAATGGAAAAGATAATTCTCGCACTATTTGTTTTATAAAAAAATCAAGTTTGAAGAAATGTAAAAGAAATTATTTATGTATAATTATATATACAATTATGCATAATTATGTATAACCAATTTTTTTACATTTTTCCACACTTGTTTTTTTCTAAAACAAACAATGCGAAAATTATCCCTTTAATTATTTTTTTTTCACATTATTATTATAATTTCTATTACACTAAAAAGTAATTTTATAAAAGAAAGAAGGATGTATGAACGTGCATGGACATATTTCATACATAATTATGAATATTGATGCGTGTTTATGTTTGTTTATAGGTTTATACATATTTATATAAATTCATGCATGAAAAATTGTTTACCAGGTATGTTATTATTATATAGCTAATGATATTTTATATTCGCATTTGCAAATATAAATCAGCAAAAATGTAGTTCTTTTAAAATAAGTTTTTCGGAAGAGAGAAAAAAAGAAGAGACATTTAAAGTTAAGAGGCACAACGGTTATTGTTTCTAATTATGTAAAACAATGTGATTTATATTTTAAAGAGATATAAATACTTACTGTGGTATTTACAACGATATTGAATGATATTTACAAAACGATACAACTCAAATAATCTCGAACGCAAAATACAATATCGCGTTTGTAATAGCGAGGTGCAATAGCGGGGTGTTCCCAACGCATTGATGATGAGCAACGTTATAAAATAACATGACTAAATTGACGCTTATATACTAATATAATCCCTACTCTTCTAGCTAATAAAGAACGGTGTAAAGTTCGTTCATGTCATAACACTTTATTTTTTGCTGTAAACATTTTAAATTATCCCTTGTACATAATTAATAATAATATTAATAATTAATTATAGTTCAAACACCACAAAAAGTCATATTAATGTGAAAATAACTCCAAAATGATTATCAAAATTAAGTTATTTTTCGATCAATCGCGATTTATTTTAATGTCATTTTAACATTATATTATAACTTGTTTTGCTTGGAAAGTTTTTTTTCTTTTTTGTTATATATATATATATACTTATTAATATATTTAATCAAATTAAAGAGAAAAATAAATTACTATATAAGAATTCTATCGTATTCTAATGATATTGAATCCGCTTTCAATAAACTCAATAAAAACTAAAAGAAAACGATAGAAAACGACATTTCTTTCGGAATATTTGGAGATACTGGTAGTGTCTCGGCGCTAAGCCAAAGCGCAGTGACACTGCCGTGGCTACTTTACGCGAACCGTAGAGATCGAGATTATCAGATCTCAATAACGGCTGTCTCGATTGAGTTAATATATACCTTACTCGATAGTTTACACTCCGATTGTATTATACGTGTTTTTATTTTTTCTCTACGTATTCTACAAGCGGAGATATTGCGACGCAAATTTCCGAACTGTCATTTTTCATTGAAATTCAACATTCAACATGGAATACGTCATCATCAATCGAAAAAATGTATGACTGCACCGTCTGGTACTAGATGGCTGTAGAAGCATTTAGATAGATTAGATGCCTGCACATTCCAATTGACGTTTGGTTTAAATGAATGGTTTGAATACAGTCTTAGAAATCAGAGATGCGACATTGAAGGATATGGTTTGATTGATTGTCTAAATCTCACGTGATCGCCATTTTAATTCATTACTGCTATAATTAGAGTTCTACTCTACGTATAGAATCTAATAATGTACGTATAATGTACTATTAAGTACATGCTATAATAAGTACGTACCAACTTTTTTTATTTTCTAACAATTTAACTTTCCTCATGTAATGCATTATTAGCTGTCATCAGCTTATAAAGGTGCCTTTTCATGCCGACGCTCGACGGGTGGCATCCAGTTGGACACGGCTCAATTGGACGCGAGCCACTCACAGCGCTTGAGACTACGAAGCTCCTAAGCACTGGTTGCTGTGATTGGTGGTGTCCAATCGAGCCGTGATCAATCGGGATCACCCCCGCTCGACACTCATTTTCGGGGTTCAAAATCATCAAAATAAGTCACGTGATAAAAATTGGCGAATATCAAGCGTCAATTATGATATTGGATGCTTTCCATTTGATGACGCGAAATGATGTTTCAATGATGTTTCGATTGCGAAAATTGGTAATTGGTAAATAAAGAAAATGACCGAGAATTTGTTCGTTACCAATACTATTTAATACTATTTATATAATTATATATTTATAATAATAGAAATTGGTTTCAAAATGGAAGTGAAAAAGGAAACGTAAGTATATATTACTTAACTCTAATGATATGTATCATTCATATAAAAGATTTGATATCAACAAAATTGGCGCCAAGTTAAATTCCTCAAAATTTTATGTATCGGTCGTAAAAAAGATTTGATATCAACAATTGGCGCCAAGTTAAATTCCATGTAATTCGGATACCAAATTAAATAAATAATATTGACTTTAATGATATGTATCATTCCTATAAAGGGTTTGATATATCAAGTACTGGCGCCAAATCCCATTTCTTTATTTACTTAATCCAAATAATACTATCTTTAACTTTTATACAATGAAACCTAAGTATACGTATAACTTATTGAAGGATCTTCCTATTCCAATCCAAATGATTTAAATTCCTCTTAAATGAAATTATTATATCACAATTCATTCAAAGACATTTTCTCTTCCAACTAAAGTAGTGGTTATTTAATTCTCTTTTAAAATAATCTACAAAACGTTATCACAAAATTGCATTACCTTGTTCAATTTAAGTGTTATCACAAAAATTAATGAGTCAACCTTATAAAATGAAAAGTTTAATTTAAATAGAAAAATTTTTCCCATCCACTTTTTACGTTTTGACTAAAACATGTTCAAGTTAAATGTTCAAGTTTTTCAATTTAATTTTATTTTATTTTAAAGATGATTCCATTAATAGAAATATGAGAATAAAAAAGGTTTATGATCTTAATTTTAACTGTCATTTTTCTTTCCAAATCTTAACACATTTGCTTTTTGCCCGGACTTTCCCTATCGTGTAATTCAGTTACGCTCTTTAAGTGTAGCGACCTTCACTTAGCTTAACAACTATTTGACGGTCACACTGTTTCTAAATTTGCGAGTTTATATGACATTCTTGCTGCACTTCAGGACTGTATGCTTAATTGCTAATATATGCTACTAACTTTATCAATAATAGAGCGCAATTAATGTAGCATGCTATTCTTAACATGTCCATCAATCCGGCAACATAGATAGTTATTATTAACATGTGTAGGCCGGTATTCATAATCGGTTCTTATTTTGAGATCGTCTTATGCTCAATTTCTTCACTTCCAGATAAATTGCGGATAATCTCATCCAGGAGATATCTCCATTGTATTCTGGGAGATATCTCTTGGATAAAGTTATTTAGAGGTGAAGAAATTGGGCATTAATAAGTAATATCTCTTATAAAACGCTAATATATACGAGTATGTTGTGACAAATTTTGTGGCGCAAAATACTATAGCAAGAAAGTTCTAAAAAAATTAAGTAAAAAATTGTTTCTAAATTTTTATTTTAAGTAGTAACTTTTTAAATAATAAAAGTTTAAATATGACCTTTGAAGTTATAACGTTTAAATAACTATGTGTACATGAATTGCATGTGTTATAGGTAGTATTATAATAATACTATTATAGCAGTATATTAATTGAAAAAGGGGTTCATGTGCGCGCATTTCAACGCGCTCACTAATGCAAGGTCACATATAATGTGGTCACGACTCGTTTTAAAATTGCAAGAGCGGTCGCGGCAGGCAATCAGAAATAATTACTATTGATGCTTCTGACTGGCTCTTGCAATCGATCTCGCGATTTTAAAACTGAGTTCGCGAACGTATTGTGACTCAGTATATAATACATACATACATGACTATATAAACGTACTTTGTAATTGATCATAATTTAAAACTTTGATTTCTAAAACTAACATTTAAAATGAAAATATATAAATAGCTTTTCCTCTGAAACTTAATTTTCGAGAAATTTCTTGCTGTAGTATTTTGAGTCATGAATTTTTGGACATCCCGTGCACTGCTTTATGACTGATATTTATAGTCCGTTGTTTGTTTTGTACTAAAAATTCATTTTTACATAAAATACGAGAAAAAAAATAAGAGGAACAATCTCCAATGGCCTTGATCTTGACAAATTTTAATATTCAAGTATGATTTCGAACAACATTCAAAAGATGTTAATCGTCGGTCGGACACCTTGGATAATGCTAACGCCGGTGGTACCGTAACTTTAAAGCTTCATAACTCGAAATATCCTTAATAAAAAATATGTTGATTTAATGTTTTAAAAAGCTCTCAAAATAAACTACAAGAATACGCAAAAAATAGGGGTTTTCACTTAAAAAAATAGACGTAACACGATCTTGGCGATCCTCAAGGTTAAACTGATAAGACCGATATATAGATCTTTTTAAACCTTACAACTTCTATATGAAACATTTTTTTTATAATTATTGATTAGAAATTTAGACAAATGATATAAGAAGATTTTTAGAAGACAATGCAGGCTTTACATTTAAACGCCCTATACTGGAATTTGCTTTCAATGTCCCAATTAGAGGGTTGCTAAGTTTCTGAAACACAAATCCGCTAATTTTTCACGCTTGAAGAACCAACCGCAACGAACAAACAACGAAAAAAAAGAAATACTTTACTAATTTTAATAATTTTATACTTTATATTTTATATTTTATAAAAATATTTTATTTTTTGTTTTGTAATAATATATATTTTGTAATTATTACAACGTAAAATTACATTTACTGATCTCAGCTTTTGACAATATTTCGAGAATACATATGTTTAGTATACATGGACGCTCTAAAAATTATTGGTGTCTATTTAAATTTTGCGCCCTATGTTATGGCGTATCATTTTAGTGTATCGCAACATCCCCGGGAGGCACAATATGCAAACCTCCATCTACAAGCAATGTCACCCCTGTCATAAAACTAGCATCGTCACTTGCTAGAAATGCAATGGTTTTTCCAATTTCCGAAGAGTCGCCGTTTCTTTCTAAAGCATGCATCCTTTTCAACTGCTCGTATCGGATTTTAATCTGTTCTTGGCTCAGTCCAGTGTTTAGAAGGATATTTGTTTCTACAGCGCCAGGATTTACGGAATTCACACGCACCTATATCATACAATATTTTAAAAATAATAATATTACGCTCTAATTATTATTTATAATCCTATTGTTAAAAAAAGGAAACAGCCATTATCTTGCTTACACGCACCTGTCGTGATGCCAATTCTAAAGCAACGCAACGCGTAAATTGATCCAGAGCCGCCTTACTCATGCAATATGACAAACTATTCCTGAGGGGTCGTAATCCAGCTACGCTTGAAACATTTACAATATTACCTTTCGTTTTGGTTAAATGTGGTACTGCCAGTGCTGTCAATTGGAATACCGAGCGAACATTTACGTTCATAATACTGAAAACAAATTTACATTGAAAATACTTTACTAAAAAAAATCATGTCACAACGTTACATGATGAAATCATGCAATTAAAATATGTAAATCACGTAATGGATTGTTCCAAACCAGTATGTGATTTTTCAAATGATGTAATTTGAAAAATCATATGATTTTACAAATAATTTTATCCATTATGTGATTTTATAATTATTGAATTTTAAAGAATTAAATGATAGAAATAGAAGAAAAAAGAATATATCTTATCATGTAACTTTTCAAAATACGTAATTTTAAAATCACGTATTGATTTGGAATAATTTGTTACGTGATTTACATAATTTTAATTACATGATTTCATCATGCAACTGTGTGACGTGATCTTTTTCAGTAGAGATGTTTTTACAAAGTTAATATATTTTCAAAATAAAATACAGGTTATTCAATATCCGTACGTGTTTACACATATGAATGACTTATTACACCGTTTATTATTTATCAATAAATTCTCTGAACTGGAATTAATCCACCACATGCACGGTGCAATAAATTGAAGTGAATTAAATGTATATTTGTTTTACTTGATCAACTTATTGTACCGTGTGCACCAGTTTCTAACTCAGAGTGTAACTCAGAGAATTTATCGATAAGACAGACGATAAGTTGATAATATATGTAAAGACCTTGAAACTTATTACATACTTGTCGTACTGTTCCAAGCTTGGAGTTTCTATATTACCGAATCCTACAATTCCAGCGTTATTAATTAAAACATCTAATTTGCCATAATGCTTGATCGTCGAATCGATAATATTTTTCACATCATTCTCATTGGCTAGATCTCCCGTTATAATAAACGGTTTAGGTTGTCCACATTGTTCGGCTACCTTTTCTAAATTGTGTTTATTACGTCCTGTTATCGATAACGATGCACCAAGCTGAGCCAGTTGAATAGCTGTTTCAGCTCCAATTCCTGAACTGGCCCCTGTTATCAGAACAACTTTTCCCGCAAAAGACATCTAAAGTAGATAAGAATTTTCAGACTGGATGTATCCAGTAGCGCACCTCTCATCATACGTAAATTAAATCCGATCACATTAAATTGCTACATAACGTAAGATAATCTCACGTAACGAACGTCACATAATTTAAGACAATAATATGACGAATCTAATGTAATTATTGTGTAGTTAATGGGGGGGGGGGGACTATATTTGCATTTGCAATTAAATAGTTCCTTTTAAAGGGATTAGGTTTTGTGAAAAGAAAAGAAGAAAAAATGTAGAACCGGTTAAGTTTAACCGGTTATCTTTTCGAATTATGTAAAACAACAGTGATTTATGTTTATCAAATGTATAATTACTTACTGTGATAGTACAACAATATTGAATGATGTTCACAAAACGGCGAGACTTATAATTTCATCGAGCGATACGAAACGCAATATTACATTTATGAGAGCGAAATCCGTAACGTAGCGGTATATATATAAGTAAACACTATATGATAATGCGATATCAACACTAGTTTATTTATTTATATCCGTCCCACTCTTCTATTCCGGAACGATAACAGTTTCAATTAATCATGACTTTGTAATAGATTGCAAAATATTTCCTGTTGTAACATACGTTTTAAATCGTATACACTTGTATATAATTAATAATGATTACTCAAGCACAGTTAAAAAATAGAGCGCAATTAATGCAGCATGCTATACTTAGCTTGTCTGTCTATCCGAAAACATTAGTAGTTATTAACTACTTTACGTAACTTGTATAAGCCGGTATTCATAATCAATTCTTATCCTGAGATTGTTTTAATAAGTATCTTATGAAATGCTAATATATAGATTGTCTTAAATTTCACAAAATACTGTAGCAAGGAAGTTCTAAAAAATTAAGTAAAATATTATTTGTAAATTTTTATTTTAAGTAGTAATTTTTTAAATAATAAGAGTTTAAATATGGCTATATTGTGATTATTGACAACGTTTAGAATGGTTATCTTCTGTCCATGAGTCGCGCGTGTAATAATATTAATTAAAAAAGGGATATTTTGGCGCGCTCACTAATGCGAGATCCATGCGGCGGGCAATTAGAATATCTACTATTGATGTCTGTTGCAATCACTCTTGCGACTTTAAAACGATTTCGCGAACGCATTGTGATTCAGCATAATCACTCACAAGTGACTATTTAAACGTAGTTTGTGTAATTGGTCGTATTTAAACCTTTGTATCTCTAAAACTAATGCTTGAAATAAAAATATACAAACAACTCTTTTTCGGAAATTTTATTTTTTGAAAAATTTCTTGCTATAGTATTTTGAGTTACGAATTTTAGGACATCCCATATATACTACAGCTTTATGACTGATATATATAGCCCGTTGTCTGTTTTGCACTAAAACTTCATTTTTACGTAAAAATTAAAATAAGAGGAACAATCTCCAATGGCCTTGATCTTAACAAATGTTTATATCCAGATCATGATTCTGAACAACATTCAAAAGATTTTAACCATCGGTTGGATACCTTGGGTAATAATAACGCCGGTGGTACTGTAATATTCAAGCCTCATAACTCGAAAAATGTTTAATGAAAAGATATGGTGACATAGTATGTTGAAGAATTTTCAAAATAAGCTACAAGAATATGCAACAAAAAATGGGGGGATTTCCATTTTAAAAAATAGATGTGATCTTGGTGACGCCACCCAAGGTCAAACTGATAAGATCGGTGGATAGATCTTTTTAAATCCTACAATTATTATCTGAAACATTGTATATATATATACATATATATATATGACGTCCTTAATATATACATAAAAAAATATGTATATCATGTATAGTTTAGAAGTTTAAAGAAATGATATAAAAGGATTTTTATACCTAAGACTTGAAGGCGTTACGGTCTTAGATGCTCTACACTGGAATTTGCTTTCGCGTCCCAATTAGAGGATCACTAAATTTCTAAAATACAAATTCGCTAATTTTTTAAGTTTGACGAACTCACTACAATAAACGAACAACCAAAAAATAAAAAAAAAATTTCACTAATTTCAATAATTTTATCTTTTATTTTTGTATTTATCTTGATATCATGGGTATATGAATAAAACATATTTCATACTTTCTTTTATAATAATATATTGTGTAATTATTAGAATGTCAAATTACATTTTCTGATCTTAGTTCTTGAAAATATTTCCGGAAAACGTATGTTTTAGTGTTCATGGAGACACCCTAATAATTACTTGTATCTATTTAAATTTTGCTTCTCCAAATTTTTCTCTACGTTGGAACGTACATTTTACTGCCTCGCGGCATGGACTTGAGTAGACATAATATGCCAACCTCCATCTACAGGCATTGTCACTCCTGTTATAAAACTAGCATCGTCACTTGCTAGGAATGCAATGGTTTTTGCGATTTCCAAAGTGTCGCCGGTTCTTCCTAAAGCATGCCCCTCTTTTAACTGCTCGAAAACGGTTTTAACCTGTTCTTGGGTCAGTCCAGTGTTCCGAAGAATATTTGTTGGTACAGCGCCAGGATTTACGGAATTCACACGCACCTATATCGTATTAAAAATAATAATATAAAGTTCCAAATAATATTTATAATGCTACTGTTGAAAAAAGAAAACAGCCATTATCCTTACACGCACCTGTCGTGATGCCAATTCTAAAGCAACGCAACGAGTAAATTGATCCAGAGCCGCCTTACTCATGCAGTATGGCAGATTATTCTTCTGTGGTCGTAATCCAGCGACGCTTGAAACATTTACAATGTTGCCTTTCGTTTTGATTAAATGTGGCACTGCTAGTGTAGTCAATTGAAATACTGATCGAACATTTACATTGAAAGTACTGTAAACACATTTACATAAAAAACACGTTTTTGTTATATCAGTATGCTTTCAAAATAAAACAGAATTTATCAATATTCATATATGTTTATACATACTATCAACTTATTACATACTTGTCGTATTGTTCTAAGCTTGGAGTTTCTATACTACCGAATTCTACAATTGCAGCGTTATTGACTAAAACATCTAATTTGCCATAATGCTTGATTGTCGAGTCGATAATATTTTTCACATCATTCTCATTGGCTAGATCTCCCGTTATAATAAACGGTTTAGGTTGTCCACATTGTTCAGCTACCTTGTCTAAATTGTGCTTATTACGCCCTGTTATCGATAACGATGCACCAAGCTGAGCCAGTTGAATAGCTGTTTCAGCTCCAATTCCTGAACTGGCTCCTGTTATTAGAACAACTTTTCCCGTAAAAGACATCTAAAATAGATAAGATTTTTCAGACTAAATGTATCCAGTAGTGCACCGCTCATCAAGCAGCCATAAGTAAATTAAATCCGATCACATTAAATTGCTACATTATGTCATATAATCGAAGACAGTGATATTACGAGAATCTAATGTAATTATTATTTAAGTAATTAGAATTATATTTGCATTTGCAAATATAAATTAGCAAAAATATATATAATTTTTTTAGAGATTAAGTTTTTTTGAGAAGAAGACAGAAAGAGATATGTAAAATTACGGCACATATCGATTATTGTTTCGAATTACGTAAAACAATGCGGTTTGTGTTTAACAAATGTATAAATACTTACTGCGGTAGTACAACGATATTGAACGATATCCACAAAATGGCGAAACTTATAATCTCGAGTGATATAAAATGCAATATCACGTTTGTGATGGCAAAGTCCGTAATGCAGCGATATAAGCGGTATGTAAGCAGATACTATAAAATAAAATAATATTGATACTAGTTTATGTATTTATCTGTCCCATCCTTCTATTCCGGAACGATAACACGTTCATTTAATCGTGACTTTATAAATCGTGAAACATCTCCCGCTATAAATCATCTGTCCTTGCATATTTTAAATCATCTGTCCTTGCATATTTTAAATCATCTGTCCTTGCATATTTTAAATCATCTGTCCTTGCATATAATAATTAATAATAATTATAACTCAAATTCAAAAAGTCATGTTGATATCAATCAAAAGCTCTAATGATTGTCAATATTAAGTTGCTATGCAATCAATTGCGATTTATTTAATGTCATTTTGACAGTATCATAATCTGTTCTGCTTGGAAGGTTTCTCTTTTAATTATACGATATGTAATTATACGACAGAAAAGTTTGAGCTTTTTTATTAGGAATAAATTAGATTTTTATTTATTTCTTCTCGATACATTTCATCAAATCAAAAAGAACAAATTACTGTAAGATTTCTATCGTATTTTAATGGTTGAATCGGCTTTCAATTGAAAATAAAAGAAATCAATAGAAAACGATGTTTTTCTCGGAATATAAAACGATGAGTTACAATAAATATATTTTAAAAACTAAAAATAATTATTGGTGATAAATTACGATAGAAAATAATATTGTTTTGAAAATGATATATTGCTTCCTATCATTATCTATACTTTTTTAACGGAGTTACACGACAGCAAATTTCTATACACATGTTGCAATAAGATATTGTGAAATCTGTAGACTAAGATTACATTGCACATTTGTAATCACTATTAATCGGATTTAATAATATAAGTAGTTATTGGCTGCATTCAGAAGAGAAAACTGATATTTTACATCAGTGTATTATAGTTATTGACTGCCTTTGAATTTTATCTGGCAAAATCGGATAAGCTGGATAATCGAATTTTATCCGGAAATTATTTCAACCTTAACAAAGAGATTGAAAAAATAAAATCTAATTGTTTAAGTTATACTATCATACATTATATATGTTAATTAATATTTAAACATTAATAAAAAAATATGTAATTTATAGATTGGTCAAATGTACATATAAAAAAATATTTTTTAAATTTTAATTTTAAATATGTATAATTATTTCTATCTAAATTGTGGAAAACGATTTTTTCACTATCCGGCCAGATAGTTGAACAATCCGGTCAGGAGCACCTATCACGAAACAAGTCGGAATGAATTCCAATCGGATCCAAATGAATCCATTCCGAATAACTCTATAATATCGATCATGTAACTTTTTCCTTAGGGTGGAAACGTAAAAAGTGAATTTTTTTTTGTATGTATGTGTATATATATGTACATACATATATAAAAATACATATAAATCACTTTTTACATTTCCGCTTTAGAGAAAAAATTACATGATAGATACCTTGTAATGGCCGCGTGGATTATAAAAAATCGGTCGGTCATATTGAGGCTGGATATGACCAGATATCCGTTGCAGCTTTAGATCAGAAATATCATATTATTTAGATAATATTATAATCACAGTTTTATAAATTATTATATGAAAACGTTGATGAACATTTCACATAAAATCAATATTTCAAAAAGTTCATCTAATGTTTCTTGCTTACTGGTTACGTCGTGTGTTCTAAGATAGTAATTTATAAATTTAATATTATTGGCTATGTAAAATGCATGATGCGCACGACATATCATTATTTATTCTTGTTGTTTATCAAATGTTAAATAAGCATAAAATTATACATTATGCCCATTGTGCGTTTTACAGAACTCATCCATTATATAGCTAATAATATTATATTTGTATTTGCAAATACCGATTTAATTATGTAACAATAGTAAATTGTGTTTAACGAATGTATAAGTACTTACCGTAGTACAACAATATTGAACGATTCACAAAATTTATAATTTCGAGCGAAGAGAGATGCAATATTGCGTTTGTAATAGATGCGATCAGTATCAGTGCATGGTATGCAAACACGCTATACCATAAATGCATAACTTAAATTGGCACTTTACATATACTTATAAGACATGTCCCACTCCTTTATTTAAAAACAGTAAGACGTTCATTTAGTCATAATTAAATATTATAACAGATGACAAAACGTTTCCTGTTGTAAGATATATTTTGAATTGTCTATCATTAATGCGCATATAATTAATAATTATAGTTCAAGCAGAAGAAAACATCATGTTAACATCAAAGCAATATCCGATAAAAAATTTTTTATATAAGAATGTACATATATATGAATATATATA